CCCCAAAACCCCAAAACCCCAAAACCCCAGCCCAGATGAGATAAATTGAAACTTAAGTTGAAATTTATATGAGATAGTATTAGTTTGTCCAAATCAGTGAAAATTTCTTTCTGCTATATTTCGGAGCTGAAATCTAAGTAAAAAGTTTATTCAAATCTAGTCTCACTGAAGACCTTTTGATTTTGATAGCAGCCGAGAGCTTGACTAGCTTAGTTTTCGTGAACTTCATCTTGGACAGAAGATAGTTCTTCCTTATCTTGAGAATCTCCATTTCTGTGTGTGTCTAAAGAATTAATATGAAAAACTCAGAAAATTAGGAAGTTACGTTTTCTTTTAACTTATGTTTAAATATCCCATACAGGAGCGAATCTAAGAGAGTGTGTAGCTGACAAAGATAATATTAAGGCTTTATCTTGACTATAAACTCAAGGTTCAGAGATTTTAGTAATCTTGATACATTGTTATTTCAAAATGTAACTGTCAGGAAGCTAATGAAGCATTCAAGGAATTTAGAACACAAAAAGAAGCAATAGATAAGTTTGATATAAATGCACTTAAGATCCTGGGTCTCTAAAAATTATGTGAAGGTTAAGACAAAGAATTAAACCTTACAGTTCTGAAGTCCTTCATCTGATGCTTCAACTTTATTGCTCTTTCTGCTATATCATTGATTTCTTTCATTTCTACAAAGACAGTTATTAATATTTGTAAAAACTTTTAAATAGACAAGGGGGATATTTTAAAGATTAGTGCATTTCTGAAATCTGGAGAACAAAGTTGACAGAAAAAGGTTAGCAATTGATAGCCTCATGATACCTTTCAGATTATGACTTGTTATCTTAATATTTTGCTTTAAAACCTTTTTCTCATTTCTGAGAATCTGCTTTTCCTTTTTAAAACTGGCTTTCTCAGTCCTCATCTCTTTAATCTGGCGCATATCTTCAATGAAGAAGTTGTCTAAACGAAGGTAAACATCAGGGCAATTGGAGGAGAAGTTTAGATGGGTATAAAGCATGGTTAGAATTTGTAAAAGTGATAAAGTGGGTCTTACCCGAGTCTTTTAAGCATTCTATTTTGTCGTTCCTATTTTTCCTAGAGATTATTATGGTTAAATACATTTTGGCGACCTTCATAAGTCTTTCAAGGAAGGCCATATCATCTGCACATTTATCAATCTCAATCTGTCTAATTTCAGAAAGTTGCTTAAGCTTCTCTTGTCTTTTTTGAACTCTATTTTGCTTCATATGATATTAAATTATCTACTTTCAACTAATTTTCGCATTTTTGGGGTTTTGGGGTTTTGGGGTTTTGGGGTTTTGGGG